TATTAACTATGGTGGGAGTGAACCCTCCAGGCCCCTGCTGGACCAAACTTTGAAAAGTTTAGAACCCCCCCCCCCCTTCAGTATATCGAAAACTTTCAGTGCACCCCTTTAATGCCAGAAAGTATTTCCGTGCCCCCCTCCCTTAACATCTTCATCCCCTCTCGGCATAATAAATGTACTTTCCCTTAGTTATCACGCAGAATAGCTAGCGAAAACCACTTGTAAATTTAATTGTTAATTAATACATGCAGTAATCTTCTTAATTTAATCATTTCAAGTTTCAGGTCAAGTTTCAGGCACGGACGAAAATGATACTTCTGAAAATTTTCGTATTGGAATTATAGCATTAGTAATTCTGCTGGACATTTCATTTGTTATTACTGCTTGTTATTACTGCTATCCAAATCGCCGACTAAAATCATCAAGTACCGAAGCGAAGGTGGAGACCACTAATGACGAAAATAATTCAAGAAATACTTGTGATTCTTCTGCCAGCAATTACGGACAAGTAAACGATGACAAATCGACCTATACAGATCTCGAAAGCCTGCTTCTGGGGAAGTAAACGATAATTTATATGGATAATTTATATCTGAATCAATTACTGCAAACTGTCCGCACATATCAGGGAGAAAGCAGGATTTAATGTCTTATTAACGCATAGTTAGAGGACATTGGCATTACAAATTTAGTTTGTTTCATTTGAAAGAACTTTTAATGAATAATTTTTACAGTTTTTCCAATATATTTCTTGAATCTTGAAATATTTTGACTGAAAACAGTGAGCTGTCCGCCATCTTGGATTATTCAGGTATGCATGTTGGTGGGTCACGCCATTGAACTATAAGTAAACTAGAAGACCGACTCAGGGTGGTAATTGAAGCCGTGCTTTGTAAGTAGTGCAAATCCCTTTTTGCAAAATGTTTTTGAAAAATACACTTTCTTTATTGATAATTTTTTCCCCTTTAATTTCCTTTCGCCCTTTTCTTTTTCATTTTAGAGCATACTAAGACAATCAATCTTTTCACTCAAGTACTAACAATAAACAAACATCGTTCAACTGCTAAAATACCACCGGCCCAAGACAAAATTTGTCAAGAAACCAACGAAAAAGTTAATATGAGACTTTCCAAAAAGAGTTAAGAGATATTATGATAAAAATTATTTAGAAAATATTAGATACATTTGCAGATTTTTCTTCAAGTACCACGACTTAATTTTAACAGTTCAAAGTGCTCATGTATGCATATATTTGACACTTCTGTTAAAAGTGTAAAATTTAAGGCTTTTTTCTTGTCCCGTCCCCGTACTGGATTAAGTCTTGCTTTAGTTCGCTAAAATGTACGTAAGGAAACAAGTGCTATCCCCATACAAAAAGAAAAAAGTTCAATGTATCAGTAGGTCAGGTTAAGAAGCAAATCCTAATTCTTAACAATAAAGAAAACTACGTCGTCCATTACAGAAAGCTATACATGGTCTGGTGCATGGGTCTTACAGCTCAACCAATTCCCTTGGCTGAAACAGTACATTGACAGCGATTTTAGTCTGAAAAGGGTTTCTTTAAACTCCTAAACAACTCAGTATTCTGAAAGACAATGGAAAACCTCGAAAGCGCGTAAACGTGAACCTAGTAATTGTTAAAGTTAACCACAAAGCTCCCCTTTATTAGTAGCAAAGTCTTTAACGAAAATCTGGTGGCAGTTCACAAGATCAAAGAACGTCTAACATTGAATCGTTGTAATGTGCATACTATAGGTCTTAGCAAGCTTCTCATGTTCGATTTCCACTACTGACAACTTCATAAAGAAAAAGTAGGGGAACTTAACAAAGCTGCATGCACTGTTGACAGACACCAATATTCTGACCTATCAAATAGGGAACAACAACGTTTACCAAGACTTCTGGGAACACAAGGAAATGTTATGGTAGGCGAAATGGTGCAATATTCAACAACCTTTATTTATATTCAACAAAGTGCATTTATATTCAACAAACCATATTCACATTGAACAAATTACATTCATATATTGAACAAAATTTTATTCACATTCAACAAAATTTTATTCACATTCAGCAAAAGTTTATTCACATTCAACAAAACTCTATTCACATTCAACAAATTTTTGCGGTGCACATTCAACAAAACTATATTCACATTCAAAAAAACTCTATTCACATTCAACAAAATTTTATTCACATTCAACAAAACTTAAATTGTCAGCAAATCCCATTTTTCTTTCGAGCTCTAATCATATTAAAAACTATATAAATTATAAGCTTGGAAAAAAGATGGTGGATAGCGAAAAAGAACGCGTTGACGTTGTTGAGACATCTGAAGAGAAATGGGAACAGTTTTTCCGTTCTCTTTTGTCAATTCTTGATGCATATAAGCAACTAAATAAAACAGAAAATATTCCATAACAAGAGAATTTACTTTCACGTTTTGAATTGTGCGGTTTCGGCCTTAAATCAAATATTGCCGTCAGCTTCTCCTGGAACTTCTCGTGCTTTTCTCGAAGAAATGGCAAATAAGTAATTTCGATTGCTTTACCTAAATATGAGTAGAACACTTTCGTCGAACAACCAGGGTACCAGTTTAGCAATATATTCTTTAGAAAAAAACCCTGTCGCGGTGCTGGCTCACGATTCAAGACACTTCACACGTGGGACTGTATTTTTTTTAATATATTTATTAAGTACAGATATTTACACTTCTTTAGTGCACATCGTTTTACAATGATGTAAGTTACAATTACCCAACACGATTCTCAACTCTCAATTTGCGATTCAAACTAATACACACATAACGCGTTCAACACGACAATCACAATAACCAATACCAATCCATGCACACTACACTTTTTTGCCTATATTTATACTAACAGAACAGGAATACATATTCCACCACAAATTTCCCTTACGTAAATGGAACATGTTTACTGCTATTTTGTTCCCTCTTTGTGGTTCATAATCCAATTTTGATCTACCACACCATCCCAAGTTATGTCTGTGACGTTCTAATGTGGGATTAGGTGTTCCCATTACGATGCAATTTTATGCCCTGTATCACGTTTAATGACACAAATAATGTTTATTGGATCACTGGACTGCGGGAAAGACCTAAACTAGACGTAAGTGAAAATGTAATTTTGGAGCTTCGTTCTCTTGGTTTCAAATGGAAAGATATTTCTGATATGCTTCTCCTCTCACGATGGACTATCAGAAGAAGAGTCATTGAATATAGAAACGAGTACGTTACATTGTTCGACATTAGCGACTATCCAAAAAGTCCGTATTACTATGGTGATAATAAAAAGGTTATCTGGAAAATGACGCCGCCGCGGCAAAACCAATCTCCGCGAGTTCTGCGGGCCGGGGCATGCGTGGCAAAGTGTATTCGTATACGAAGAGGAGCGGTGGCGACAAAAATGCTAAAGGTATGAAGAAGGCCGTAATAAAAGAAATCATTACACATGAAAATT